AGTGTTGAGTCTATGGTGCAGTGTTGAGTCTATGGTGCAGTGTTGAGTCTATGGTGCAGTGTTGAGTCTATGGTGCAGTGTTGAGTCTATGGTGCAGTGTTGAGTCTATGGTGCAGTGTTGAGTCTATGGGCAGTGTTGAGTCTATGGTGCAGTGTTGAGTCTATGGGCAGTGTTGAGTCTAGGGCAGTGTGAGTCTATGGTGCAGTGTTGAGTCTATGGCAGTGTTGAGTCTATGGTGCATGTTGAGTCTATGGGCAGTGTTGAGTCTATGGGCAGTGTGAGTCTATGGTGCAGTGTTGAGTCTATGGTGCAGTGTTGAGTCTATGGTGCAGTGTGAGTCTATGGTGCAGTGTTGAGTCTATGGTGCATGCAGAGTCTGGTGCAGTTGAGTCTATGGTGCAGTGTTGAGTCTATGGTGCAGTGTGAGTCTATGGTGCAGTGTTGAGTCTATGGGCAGTGTGAGTCTATGGTGCAGTGTTGAGTCTATGGCAGTGTTGAGTCTATGGTGCAGTGTTGAGTCTATGGGCAGTGTTGAGTCTATGGTGCAGTGTTGAGTCTATGGGCAGTGTTGAGTCTATGGTGCAGTGTTGAGTCTATGGTGCAGTGTGAGTTAGGTGCAGTGAGTCTATGGTGCAGTGTTGAGTCTATGGCAGTGCAGTTGAGTCTATGGTGCAGTTGAGTCTATGGTGCAGTGTTGAGTCTATGGTGCAGTGTTGAGTCTATGGTGCAGTGTTGAGTCTATGGTGCAGTGTGAGTCTATGGTGCAGTGTTGAGTCTATGGTGCAGTGCTGAGTCTATGGTGCAGTGTTGAGTCTATGGTGCAGTGTTGAGTCTATGGTGCAGTGTTGAGTCTATGGGCAGTGTGAGTCTATGGCAGTGTTGAGTCTATGGCAGTTGAGTCTATGGGCAGTGTTGAGTCTATGGTGCAGTGTGAGTCTATGGTGCAGTGTTGAGTCTATGGTGCAGTGTTGAGTCTATGGGCAGTGTGAGTCTATGGCAGTGTTGAGTCTATGGTGCAGTTGAGTCTATGGTGCAGTGTTGAGTCTATGGTGCAGTGTTGAGTCTATGGCAGTGTTGAGTCTATGGGCAGTGTTGAGTCTATGGTGCATGTTGAGTCTATGGTGCAGTGTTGAGTCTATGGTGCAGTGTTGAGTCTATGGTGCAGTGTTGAGTCTATGGTGCAGTGTTGAGTCTATGGTGCAGTGTTGTGTCTATGGTGCAGTGTTGAGTCTATGGTGCAGTGTTGAGTCTATGGTGCAGTGCTGAGTCTATGGTGCAGTGTTGAGTCTATGGGCAGTGTTGAGTCTATGGTGCAGTGTTGAGTCTATGGTGCAGTGTTGAGTCTATGGTGCAGTGTTGAGTCTATGGGTAGTGTTGAGTCTATGGTGCAGTGTTGAGTCTATGGTGCAGTGTTGAGTCTATGGTGCAGTGTTGAGTCTATGGTGCAGTGTTGAGTCTATGGTGCAGTGCTGAGTCTATGTGCAGTGTTGAGTCTATGGTGCAGTGTGAGTCTATGGTGCAGTGCTGAGTCTATGGTGCAGTGTTGAGTCTATGGTGCAGGTTGAGTCTATGGGCAGTGTTGAGTCTATGGTGCAGTTTGAGTCTATGGGCAGTGTTGAGTCTATGGTGCAGTGTTGAGTCTATAGTGCAGTGTTGAGTCTATGGTGCAGTGTGAGTCTATGGTGCAGTGTGAGTCTATGGTGCAGTGTTGAGTCTATGGTGCAGTGTTGAGTCTATTGTGGGCAGTGTTGAGTCTATGGTGCAGTGTTGAGTCTATGGTGCATGTTGAGTCTATGGTGCAGTGTTGAGTCTATGGTGCAGTGTTGAGTCTATGGTGCAGTGTTGAGTCTATGGTGCAGTGTTGAGTCTATGGTGCAGTGTTGAGTCTATGGTGCAGTGTTGAGTCTATGGTGCAGTGTGCTGAGTCTATGGTGCAGTGTTGAGTCTATGGGCAGTGTTGAGTCTATGTGCAGTGTTGAGTCTATGGTGCAGTTGAGTCTATGGTGCAGTGTTGAGTCTATGGTGCAGTGTTGAGTCTATGGGCAGTGTTGAGTCTATGGTGCAGTGTTGAGTCTATGGTGCAGTGTTGAGTCTATGGTGCAGTGTTGAGTCTATGGGCAGTGTTGAGTCTATGGGCAGTGTTGAGTCTATGGGCAGTGTGAGTCTATGGGCAGTGCTGAGTCTATGGTGCAGTGTGAGTCTATGGTGTGTGAGTCTATGGGCAGGTTGAGTCTATTGGCAGTGTGAGTCTATGGGCAGTGCTGAGTCTATGGTGCAGTGTTGAGTATGGTGCAGTGTTGAGTCTATGGTGCAGTGTTGAGTCTATGGTGCAGTGTTGAGTCTATGGTGCAGTGTGAGTCTATGGTGCAGTGTTGAGTCATGGTGCAGTGTTGAGTCTATGGTGCAGTGCTGAGTCTATGGGCAGTGTTGAGTCTATGGGCAGTGTTGAGTCTATGGTGCAGTGTTGAGTCTATGGCAGTGTGAGTCTATGGTGCAGTGTGAGTCTATGGTGCAGTGTTGAGTCTATGGTGCAGTGTTGAGTTATGGGCAGTGTTGAGTCTATGGTGCAGTGTTGAGTCTATGGTGCAGTGTTGAGTTATGGTGCAGTGTTGAGTCTATGGTGCAGTGTGAGTCTATGGTGCAGTGTGAGTCTATGGTGCAGTGTTGAGTCTATGGTGCAGTGTTGAGTCTATGTGCAGTGTTGAGTCTATGGTGCAGTGTTGAGTCTATGGTGCAGTGTGAGTCTATGGTGCAGTGTTGAGTCTATGGTGCAGTGTTGAGTATGGTGCAGTGTTGAGTCTATGGTGCAGTGTTGAGTCTAGGTGCAGTGTTGAGTCTATGGTGCAGTGTGAGTCTATGGGCAGTGTTGAGTCTATGGGCAGTGTTGAGTCTATGGGCAGTGTGAGTCTATGGTGCAGTGTTGAGTCTATGGTGCAGTGTTGAGTCTATGGTGCAGTGTTGAGTCTATGGGCAGTGTGAGTCTATGGCAGTGTTGAGTCTATGGTGCAGTGTTGAGTCTATGGTGCAGTGCTGAGTCTATGGTGCAGTGTGAGTCTATGGCAGTGTTGAGTCTATGGTGCAGTGGAGTCTATGGTGCATGCTGAGTCTATGGTGCAGTGCTGAGTCTATGGTGCAGTGTGAGTCTATGGTGCAGTGTTGAGTCTATGGTGCAGTGTTGAGTCTATGGTGCAGTTTGAGTCTATGGTGCAGTGTTGAGTCTATGGTGCAGTGTTGAGTCTATGGGCAGTGTTGAGTCTATGGTGCAGTGTTGAGTCTATGGGTGCAGTGTTGAGTCTATGGTGCAGTTGAGTCTATGGTGCAGGTTGAGTCTATGGTGTAGTGTTGAGTCTATGGAGTAGTGTGAGTCTATGGTGCAGTGTGAGTCTATGGTGCAGTGTTGAGTCTATGGTGCAGTGTTGAGTCTATGGTGCAGTGTTGAGTCTATGGTGCAGTGCTGAGTCTATGGTGCAGTGTTGAGTCTATGGTGCAGTGTTGAGTCTATGGTGCAGTGTTGAGTCTATGGTGCAGTGTTGAGTCTATGGTGCAGTGTTGAGTCTATGGTGCAGTTGAGTCTATGGTGCAGTGAGTGTGAGTTATGGTGCAGTGTTGAGTCTATGGTGCAGTGTGAGTCTATGGTGCAGTGTGAGTCTATGGTGCAGTGTTGAGTCTATGGTGCAGTGTTGAGTCTATGGGCAGTGTTGAGTCTATGGCAGTGTTGAGTCTATGGGCAGTGTTGAGTCTAGTGCAGTGTTGAGTCTATGGTGCAGTGCTGAGTCTATGGTCAGTGTTGAGTCTATGGTGCGGCTGAGTCTATGGTGCAGTGTTGAGTCTATGGTGCAGTGTTGAGTCTATGGGCAGTGCAGAGTCTATGGTGCAGCGTTGAGTCTATGGTGCAGTTGAGTCTATGGTGCAGTGTGAGTTATGGTGCATGCTGAGTCTATGGTGCAGTGCTGGTCTATGGTGCAGTGTTGAGTCTATGGTGCAGTGTGAGTCTATGGGCAGTGTGAGTCTATGGTGCAGTGTTGAGTCTATGGTGCAGTGTTGAGTCTATGGTGCAGTGTGAGTCTATGGTGCAGTGTTGAGTCTATGGTGCAGTGTTGAGTCTATGGTGCAGTGCTGAGTCTATGGTGCAGCGTTGAGTCTATGGTGCAGTGCAGAGTGTCTGGTGCATTGTTGAGTTTATGGTGCAGTGCTGAGTCTATGGTGCAGTGGTGAGTCTATTGTGCAGTGTTGAGTCTATGGTGCAGTGTTGAGGCTATGGGGCAGTGTGAGTCTATGGTCATTGTTTGAGTCTATGGTTGCTTTGCAGTGTTGAGTCTATGGTGGCAGTGTTGAGTCTAGTGGTGCCAATGTTGAGTAATATGGTGCAGTGCTGAGTCTATGGTGCACAGTGCTGAGTCTATGGTGCCGTTGCTGAGTTCTATGGTGCAGCTGCTGAGTCTCGGGTGCAGTGTTGAGTTCTCTGGTGGCATTGTTGACGTCTATGGTGCAGCGGTTTTTGAGTCTATGGTGCAGTGCTTGCAGTCTATGGTGCAGTGATGAGTCTATGGTGCAGTATGAGTCTATAGTGCATAGTGTTGAGTCTACGGTGCAGTTTTGAGTCTATGGCGCAGTGTTGAGTACTATGAGCGCAGTGCTGAGTCTATTGTGACAGTGCTGAGTCTATTGTGCAGTGCTGAGCTCTATGGCAGTTGTTGAGTCTATGGCGAAGTGTTGAGTCTATGGTGCAGTGTTGAATTTATGGGCAGAGTGTTGAGTACTAATGGGCAGTTGCTGAAGTCTATGGTGCAGTGTTGCGTCTATGGTGCAGTGCTGAGTCTATGGTGCAGTGCTGAGTCTATGGTGCAATGCTGAGTCTATGGTGCAGTGTTGAGTCTATGGTGCAGTGTTGAATATATGGTGCAGTGTTGAGTCTATAGGCAGTGTTGAGTCTATGGTGCTTTGCTGAGTCTATGGTGAAGTTCCGGTGGTCGTGGAGTGACGCAAGTTTGAGCCGTCCTCACCGGAAGTTTAAGATCCCCACTTCCACCAACCGAGACCCGAGTTTCTGATAGGAGCTGGTGAGCTGTGGAACGTGGGGGGGGGGGGAGTGGTGGGGGGGGGTAGAGACGTGTCATCAAACAATCGTTTATTTCATTATCGTTGTCACAGACCCACAAGGACACAAACCGTGTACGGTGGGGTCACGGGGAGAGGGCATCGCAGATGACGAGCAGGAGGTCAGGGTTATTTCGTCGGTTATGGTGTGGTGTGTAGTATAGTTGTAGTGTATGGTGGAGTGTATAGTGTTGTAGTGTATACTGTAGTGTAGTGTATAGTGTGTGTGGTGTGTAGTGTATAGTGTGTGGTGTGTAGTGTATAGTGTAGTGTGTGGTGTATAGTGTAGTGTAGTGTGTAGTGTAGTGTGTGGTGTGTAGTATAGTGTGTGGTGTAGTGTGTTGTATGTGGTGTGTAGTTTAGTGTGTGGTGTGTAGTGTATAGTGTAGTGTATGGTGTATAGTGTAGTGTGTGGTGTAGTGTAGTGCGTGGTGTATAGTGTAGTGTATAGTGTAGTGTGTGGTGTGTAGTGTATAGTGTAGTGTGTGGTGTATAGTGTAGTGTGTGGTGTAGTGTAGTGCGTGGTGTATAGTGTAGTGTATAGTGTAGTGTGTGGTGTGTAGTGTAGTGTGTAGTGTATAGTGTAGTGTGTGGTGTGTAGTGTATAGTGTAGTGTGTGGTGTATAGTGTAGTGTGTGGTGTAGTGTAGTGCGTGGTGTATAGTGTAGTGTATAGTGTAGTATGTGGTGTGTAGTGTAGTGTGTAGTGTATAGTGTAGTGTGTGGTGTGTAGTGTATATTGTAGTGTAGTGAGTAGTGTATAGTGTAGTGTGTGGTGTATAGTGTAGTGTGTGGTGTAGTGTAGTGCGTGGTGTATAGTGTAGTGTATAGTGTAGTATGTGGTGTGTAGTGTAGTGTGTAGTGTATAGTGTAGTGTGTGGTGTGTAGTGTATATTGTAGTGTAGTGAGTAGTGTATAGTGTAGTGTGTGGTGTGTAGTGTATATTGTAGTGTGTAGTGTATAGTGTAGTGTGGTGTAGTGTATAGTGTAGTGTGTAGTTTAGTGTATAGTGTAGTGTGTGGTGTGTAGTGTATAGTGTTGTGTGTGGTGTATAGTGTAGTGTATGGTGTAGTGTATAGTGTAGTGTGTGGTGTATATTGTAGTGTGTGGTGTGTAGTGTATTTTGTAGTGTGTGGTGTATAGTGTAGTGTGTGGTGTATAGTGTAATGTAGTGTGTGGTGTGTAGTGTACAGTGTAGTTTGTAGTGTATAGTGTAGTGTGTGGTGTATAGTGTAGTGTATGTATGGTGTGGTGTGTGTTGTGTAGTGTATAGTGTAGTGTGGTGTGTAGTGTATAGTGTAGTGTGTGGTATATAGTGTAGTGTATAGTGTAGTGTGTAGTGTATAGTGTGTGGTGTATAGTGTAGTGTAATGTGTAGTGTAGTGTGTGGTGTATAGTGTAGTGTAGTGTGTAGTGTAGTGTGTTGTGTGTGGTGTGTAGTTTAGTGTGTGGTGTGTAGTGTATAGTGTAGTGGGTGGTGTATAGTGTAGTGTAGTGCGTGGTGTATAGTGTAGTGTATAGTGTAGTGTGTGGTGTGTAGTGTAGTGTATAGTGTAGTGTGTGGTGTGTAGTGTATATTGTAGTGTAGTGTGTAGTGTATAGTGTAGTGTGTGGTGTGTAGTGTATATTGTAGTGTGTAGTGTGTAGTGTAGTGTGGTGTATAGTGTAGTGTAGTGTGTTGTGTGTGGTGTGTAGTTTAGTGTGTGGTGTGTAGTGTATAATGTAGTGTGTGGTGTATAGTGTAGTGTAGTGTGTAGTGTGTGGTGTGTAGTATAGTGTGTGGTGTAGTGTGTTGTATGTGGTGTGTAGTTTAGTGTGTGGTGTGTAGTGTATAGTGTAGTGTGTGGTCTTTAGTGTAGTGTGTGGTGTAGTGTAGTGCGTGGTGTATAGTGTAGTGTATAGTGTAGTGTGTGGTGTGTAGTGTAGTGTGTAGTGTATAGTGTACTGTGTGGTATGTAGTGTATATTGTAGTGTAGTGTGTAGTGTATAGTGTAGTGTGTGGTGTGTAGTGTATATTGTAGTGTGTAGTGTGTAGTGTATAGTGTAGTGTGGTGTAGTGTATATTGTAGTGTGTAGTGTAGTGTATAGTGTAGTGTGTGGTGTATAGTGTAGTGTATGGTGTAGTGTATAGTGTAGTGTGTGGTGTATATTGTAGTGTGTGGTGTGTAGTGTATTTTGTAGTGTGTGGTGTATAGTGTAGTGTGTGGTGTATAGTGTAATGTACTGTGTGGTGTGTAGTGTACAGTGTAGTTTGTAGTGTATAGTGTGGTGTGTAGTGTATAGTGTAGTGTGGTGTGTAGTGTATAGTGTAGTGTGTGGTATATAGTGTAGTGTGTAGTGTGTGGTCTATGGTGTGTAGTGTATAGTGTAGTGTATAGTGTAGTGTGTAGTGTATAGTGTGTGGTGTATAGTGTAGTGTAATGTGTAGTGTAGTGTGTGGTGTATAGTGTAGTGTAGTGTGTAGTGTAGTGTGTTGTGTGTGGTGTGTAGTTTAGTGTGTGGTGTGTAGTGTATAGTGTAGTGTGTGGTGTATAGTGTAGTGTGTGGTGTAGTGTAGTGCGTGGTGTATAGTGTAGTGTATAGTGTAGTGTCTGGTGTGTAGTGTAGTGTATAGTGTGGTGTGTAGTGTATATTGTAGTGTAGTGTGTAGTGTATAGTGTAGTGTGTGGTGTGTAGTGTATATCGTAGTGTGTAGTGTGTAGTGTAGTGTGGTGTAGTGTATAGTGTAGTGTGTAGTGTAGTGTATAGTGTAGTGTGTGGTGTGTAGTGTAGTGTGTAGTGTGTGGTGTATAGTGTAGTGTTTGGTGTAGTGTATAGTGTAGTGTGTGGTGTATAGTGTAGTGTGTGGTGTGTAGTGTTGTTTGTAGTGTGTGGTGTGTGGTGTATAGTGTAGTGTGTGGTGTATAGTGTAATGTAGTGTGTGGTGTGTAGTGTACAGTGTAGTTTGTAGTGTATAGTGTAGTGTGTGGTGTATAGTGTAGTGTATGGTGTGGTGTGTGGTGTGTAGTGTATATTGTAGTGTGGGGTGTAGTGTATAGTGTAGTGTGTGGTGTATAGTGTAGTGTGTGGTGTATGGTGTGTAGTGTATAGTGTAGTGTGTGGTGTGTAGTGTATACTGTAGTGTAGTGTATGGTGTGTAGTATATAGTGTAGTGTGTGGTGTATAGTGTAGTGTGTAGTGTAGTGTATAGTGTAGTGTGTAGTGTATAGTGTAGTGTGTAGTGTATAGTGTAGTGTAATGTGTGGTGTGTAGTGTATAGTGTAGTGTATTGTGTTTATTATAGTGTATAGTGGTGTAGTGTATAGTGTAGTGTAGTGTGTGGTGTATAGTGTAGTGTATAGTTTAGTGTAGTGTGTGGTGTATGTGTAGAGGTGTAATTGTGTATGGGCGCGGATGGCTAACAAACACAAGGGGCGTGGTTAGGGCCGTACACAGAGGAGGTGCTCACACCGACGTCCGCACCTGCATCCCCCACGGGCCCCTCCCGGGGGCCGAGTACTGTAAAAGGTGGTGAGCCGGAGGGCTCGAGGTCGAGTATTAGCTTAAACCAGCGAAGACTGAAGACCAGCTAGAATAGGCCCCGGAGCTCCCCTGGCTCGTTGTCCTTGTCAGGGCCGACCAGGGCAAGCCGGTGGCGTGGCCCCGAGAGCCCAGACTGACGTTCTTATAACAGCCGGTCTGGAGACTCAGGGTGCCGGGATCCCAGCTTGACCAGGGCTGGGATAGGTAGCCTCCCCTAGCTCCGTAGTGGAGGACTCGGGTGTAGGTTAGCGAGGTTAGATGTTGTGTCTCCCTGTTAGACGAGTGAAGGGGACGATACCCCTTTAAGTACTGTGTGTACCCGTTACTGTGCACGAGTTGGTGTTAATAAATAAGTGTGCCTCCGACCCCGTCGTCCAAGCCTCCTAAATACTTACTACATCTGGGGTCAGAAGTAAACGTTCAACGATGGACACACGAGGGTCGACACGTACCAGGGAGTAGGAGTTGGAGGACACCTCGGCCGAATCGGCAGCAGAGATGGCCGAGGTCGGATCGGAGCAGCCGGGGCCGAGTACACCCGCGCTGCTACGACAGGAAGGGGGGGATGCGTCGGCTGAGGGACTTCGGCTGGCTCACTCCCGCCTGGCGGAGCTGCTCTACGCTGCGGCCGCCACGTTGGAGGAGATCACGCGGATGGGGGCTGGAGGGGCTGCGCGGGACGACGACGGCAGCTGACGCGCGGCGACATTTCCCGCCACCCCGACGCAGCTCGCGGTAAAATTTCCCGCCATCACTACAGTGCGAGCAGAGGGCGGGGACGGCCCGCGTCAGGTGACTGCTGAGGGCCAAGCCAAGCCGTGACACCGGCCAGCGCGTCAACAACGAAGCGACCGGCGATGCCATGCTCGCAGCCCGCCCACACTGTAACGTCTGCGGGGAACGACGGAGCGCGATCCGCAGCCACGGACGTCGCGTTACAGCAGCGACTGCCGCCTCTCAAAGAATTCGTGGGCGCGGACGGGGACTGGGGGCGGCTTCAAAAGATGGTTCATCGCTCATCAGGAGATGGCAAACTGGACAGACGCTGAGGCACTACGCGCGCTGCCAGCGATGCTGGACAACGACGCCCTGGCTACTCTCACCTCGGCGCCTAAAGAAAACCGCGCCACGCTGCACTTGGCGCTGCAGCTGCTGTCAGCTGTCTACGGCCCGCCTTCGGACTGCAGGCAGCTGTTCCACGATCGTCATCGGGGCGCCAACGAATCGCCTCTGGCCTTCCGGACGGCTCTCCTGGCCCTGGCGAAGGCAGCTTTCCCGCGGATGGACGAGGAGGGAGTGGACGCTATGGTGGCTGAAAAGCTGCTGCAACTCGCGGACGAGCTGGACGTCGCCGTCTTGGCTCAAGACGACGCAGAGATGTCTTCCTTGCTGGTCGCGCGCCACATCCACGGGGGCTTGCGGTCCCTGCGTCGCAAGGCCGCCAAGG